TATTTTCTGCAATTTTTGTTAAGTTTGCTTCCTTTATTTGACGTCGTAGTACGAAGGTGTGTTTATCTTACTTTCTGTCTTAACGAAACTTAAAAAGCTTCTAGGTAAAGCAAAGATAAGATAGAAGCAATAGTTTCTTTCCTGTTTTTATTATTTGAGTGTGGGAAGTTGGTTTGCGAGAAATATCTTTCTGAATTTGATGGTCTGTGACTGCTTAATGAACGAGTGGTTGGAAAATTCCTTTAAGAACATTGTATACAATTATGATGCTTAAAAATCATAAAAATAAAAAGTGACAACGTTGGTTAGATCTTTGTCTGTCTTTAATGATCACGTTTCCTTTACAAACATTTTGCACAAGTCTAAAAACGTTCCGAGCAATCAGATCTTGTGGTTTGTTCAGACGCAACTTTGCCAACCTGAGATGTACCAACATGTTTCTCTCTCTTTCTTTTTGTTTTTGTGTGACTTTAATATTGATATGTTAGCAAAATGGGAACATGTACAAAAAAAGAATAAAAACATACTACATACGAGACTACACGAAATAAACACAGACATCACAATGACATAAAAAACAACTCCGACTGCATTTCAAAATGTACAAACATGTGGAAAGACAGCAAAGAGACTGAATTTACTACACAATCAAACTGGTTACGAGGTGCAAAGCAACCATAGACAGAAACAACCATATACAAAATCGACTATTTGTATGTTCTGTATCTCTGTGCTTTGCCTGTGTCATTTTTCTGTTGTGAAGATGGCAGAAAAAGTACACTTGAACAAGTGTTCAAGTGTACTTTTTCATTAATAAATGCTTCATAAGGTAAAAATAGGTCTCACCTTAGATGAGGTCAAAATAATTAACTAGCATCTAGTAACTCTCTGAATTAACCATGAATTACAATATGAAATAAATATTAATAAAACCTCTATCAACACACACACACACTTACTAATGCATGATGGTGTGACATTAATATAAAGTCTTGTGTTGACAGTTTTAATTTTCCAGTGTGCACATTATCAATGACATCTAATTTCAGAAATACATTTCAGGTTTCATGTGGATCAACATGCTATATTCACCCAGTCAGTTCCACTAAACTGAGTGCTTCCTAACTACATTCATACACAGTCACACTCTGCTGGATGCATCAAAGAGCAACTTCGGGTAGTATCTTGCCCAAGGATACCTGACATGCAGACTGGAGGAGGCAGGGATCGAACCACCAACCTTCCAATCTACCTCCTGAGCTACAGCCACTCGGTGGTAAACATGAGTAAACCCTCACTAGTAGTGATGGGTCCAGCAACACTGACGCACCGACGCATGTATCAAGCTCACAGAGCGAAACCTGTATCAGTGCGTGCGTCGCTTTAAGAAAAAGTCAGGTGATCGATACAGCTGCTGTATCGCTCATTGCCAACGCACCAAACTGTCTTTAAAAGGTACCGCATCTGCATCTGCCAACGGAATGAGTCGCCACCAAAAAACCCACAAAATTACTCTCACAAAGGTAAAAAAAATAATAAAAAATACACATCTCTCTCCATAACAAAATGGAGCCCGAAAGAAAAAGAAACGTTTCTGCTGTGTGGGATCATTTTGATCTTTTAACTGCAAAT